AGCTTAAAAGCAGTTTCCTGTGTTGGAGATTTTGGAGTTAATTTTAATTTTGGCTATTGTTTGGAAAAGATGGGCTGTCTGTGTAGATATGAAGTATAGTTTTTCCATAAAACAGATGTTTATTTTGTATTAAAAATACCACTGTACTTGTTTTACACCATTTGTATACATGTGGTGATATTGATGTAAAATTTGAGAATTAAAATGTGACCCTGTAATTCCATGATTGAGACTTGTGTTTGTTTTGTTGTAAATATAAGTAAATTCTATTTTTGAGATATGTCCAATTTACATTATCTTTTAAAAGCTTACAAAATCCATAAAGACTTGTTATAAACCACTAGGTCAGAAAGTCTTAAAAAGCAAGAGTCAACCATAAATATTGCTTACAGGAGGTAAACATTGGTCAAACATAACATCAGAGTACCATAGCATGAAGCCATTCTGACCTCTAAACAAAGGTGCACATACAGCAAGCCTCCACTTCATATCGTAAGTGACCTGTGATACCCTCAACTAGCATCATTGACTCATATGATAGGCATTCTTCCAAGCAGGTGTTATCAAGCCTTTTTCATCATAGCACTTAGACTGCTTAGAATCTAAGCAGCCCTGACCTATTGTGTTTGTTCCTATATAACTTCAAGTTCAAAGTGTCATCTCTGTACCTTATAAAGACTCCTTTGATTTCTCCTTTCTGAGGAACTTCAAACTTTTAAGTCATTATTATGGGAAAGTGTTTCTTATAGCAGAAATGAATGTTTTCTTAAAATACAAGGGCAACAGTTGTGTAATACATATGCTCACCTTCAAGAAGAAAGGATCCTTGGAAGGCACAACTAGGAAGATTCCACATTAGCCTCTGTCCTAAGTGACGACCCTGATGCAGGCTGGGGTGCATTATCTCCACTCAGTTCAAGTCAGAGCACACATGTGTATGCCTTAGGTCCTAAAAATACCTGTAAACATGTACCTAATAAAAAGCTATTTTTAATAAAAAGTTGTGTGAAACAGATTGATTTTTTTTGTTTTCATCACTGGTTTTTCTGAAGTTTGAAGGTTGGAGCTTAAAGTATAATTTTAGATTCAAGCAGATAAGATGAACTTTTAGAAAAACCCCAGTTGAGGCCAGCAAGATTGCTAAGTGGGTAAAGGAATTTGCTGCCAAGCCTGTTTGACCCCTGGAACTCAACACAGTACAAATTGCCCCCTGACCTCCACAGGCACAATGGCATATGCATGCCCATATACATACAAAATGTCTGTTTAAAAAAAAAAAAAAAGAAAGAAAGAATGTCCAGTAACTAGAAAAAGGTGGGTATAAATTGTAACTAAGTTTTGGAAAGCAAGATCATTCTGATTACCTTTAAGCAAAGAGACTAGAATTTTTTCCAGGGCCTTATAAAGACCAACTGGTAAGTAGCATTTTCCTCAACAGGTTTAGTCAGTCAGTTAGTTGATTCTTTTGTCTGTTTTCAGAACAACATTTATAGAAAAGGTTATAATTTTGTACATCTCCCACATTTATTTTACAAGGCTTGTTTGTCCTTTAAATATAAAGCTCTCTTACCTTTGTCCAAGATACTGCCTTTGGATTGCATCATACTGGGTAAACCTAAAACAACAGTTTTCCTGTCTTGCTGCAGCAGCCACACCTTTAAAAATGGAAGTTTCCAATTCCCCACAAGGCTTTCCACATTACCCTAACCTGCCGTCTGTCACATGTCACCTTTCATATGCTAGCCCTCCTATTCACACGTGTTCTGGTTCAGTTTCAAGGCATGTGTTTCTAAATTACTGTATACCCTCTTTTCTGTAAACACCTGATCAGTTTACAGCTTACTTGCCCAAGGCAGCACAGCTAGCCTGCCATGTTATCACTGCACTTTCCCCTTTTAATACTGCTCTTTGGGCCTTCAATAGCACCATGAAAGCAGGAACCCTGTCTGTCAGTCTGGTTGACTACTATACCCTTGGTGTGTATCATGCTTAGCACAAACAGTGTCTAGTAAGGATGAATGAAAGCATGCACTATCAACTAATTTCTTTCTGTAGCCCCTTTTGAAGAGAAAACATTCAAATTCTTTTTATTTGTTTATTTGTTTATTTTGGTTAGGATAGGTTCATGTAGCCTAGGCTGGCCTCCAGTTTGCTTTGTTGCTGAGAATGACCTTGAACTCCTGACTCTCCTGTTCAGCGTCCTGGGTGCTAGGATTATAGGCACACACCACCATAACCTGGCTCTATGCAGAAATTTCTGTTAAACTGCCTTCCCTCTTACCCTTTACCTGTTTAAAATAATAATAATGAGCTTATAGTTGCATTTAGGAAAGCAGGTATTTGCTTAAAACTAACAGTCTTTGTTTAAGGATTAAATAATTTATTTTTAAGAAAACTTGGACTTCTGTTTCGCTAACTCTTCATATTACTTATTAATAACTTCTTCTTTAAGTTTCTCTGCGAGCAATCGCCTCTTTAGTAATGTTTGTTTCTCCTCTGCTGTCATTTCTGGCTTCTCTGTCATTTCCTTTAAAAAAAAACAAAAAAACAAAAAATTTGGCTACAATTAAAAATTAGCTTCATATGTCTAAAATTCTTAACATGCTTCAAAAGAACAAGAATTAAGGGCATTTTCAGTAAAACTTAAAAGTCAACGACCAAGTTTCTTAGCTCTCTTCTTGGAGAAGCACTGGGAAGCATGGGGTATGGACAGAACATTGCAAACATTTGAAATAGCTAAGGTAAGACAGACCACTGACCCTAAGGAACTCAGCATGGGAAGTCAACAAAAATGTATAATAAAATGATTATTTCTACCTCACAGAATTCTCATCTAAACTCTCCTGAGAGATTTAGCAGTTGTCACACTAGCAGATGGTTAATTTGAGTGGGTCAACCAACAAAATTCATTGGCGACTTTCTTGCACAAACTAAAAACTCTTCTCCTGCACAATCAACACCTTAAGGCTAGCCATACCTCCACCTCCCTGGTAGGCTTTCCTTTTTGGTCAGTATTCTGGATCTGTTTTGCTCTCATGTCCTTTCTCATGGACATCAGCTTATCTCTCTTCTGCTTGAGATAATGTTCTCGTTGCCGTAACTCTTCTGTTCCGAGTGCTGACAAATTCTGGTTCAGATAAGAGAAAGAACTGTCTGTATTCAAGTCCACACAACAAGTGACAAAGACATCTACTGGATCAGTTTTAAGTTCCAAGATCTAACAAAGACAAGTGTATAGCTCTGTATGGCCTTGCTTATAGTAAGTTAGCTTTTACTTACTGCTATTGGTCCTTCCATGCTCGAATGTTCTAAACCAGGAATCTTCAGACCTTTTTGTGGGAGGGAGGAAGTTTCAGGCAACAGCTCCATCTTTCTTGCCAAGGGTTGTACTGACTGATTAGCAAAATGCACTTTAACTTCTGGCAGTAAATAGTGAGACCAATTAAGATATTGTAACTTAAAGAACCACACTATTATGGAAAACAGACACTTCTTAATTGAAACATCACATAAATACCTCACAAATAATATCTTTGGTTTCCAAACTTGCTTCTAAGTATGTGACTGTACACTTAACAAAACTGATTTTCTGTCTTACAACATTAGTTGTCAACAACAATGACTTGTTTTCGATTATATACTGAAAATAGCTACCAATCACTAAGAAAATGTAACCATTTCTAAAGCAAAGAGAAACTTAGAAGCACATGAAATATAAGCATTCAGTACTTCAATAACTGTGCCATAAGGTATGATTGACATTCTAATTGCTTCTGTAGTCTATTTTCTATAAGAAAATTAGGTAATTTTTTTTGAAGCCTAACAAGATAACTCAAAAGTTAAATCTCTGACCACCAAGTATGATGACATATATGATTTTGATCCCAGGACCCACATGGAGGAAGGACAGAACCAACTCCTGCAAGTTGTTCTTGACTACATGCACATAAGTACACAGTGGTACATATATACATACACAGGTCTCTCAGCCTCTTAGTCTCTTGTGTATATCCACACACAAGTAAATCATCATTTTTGAGGGGGTGGGGTTTTGGAGATGGTTCCGTGGGAAAAGAGGTGTGAGAGAATGAGAACCCTATTTTGAATCCCACCCCCACCCCCACACACACACACACTCATTTAAAAAGCTAATCTTGGCAGAGGACATCAACCCCAGAGACAAATGGATCTCAGAGGACTGCCAGTCAGCCTCGGCAATCAGTTCTAGGATCAATGAAGAGACCCTATCTCAAACAATAAAGTGGAGAGCAACAGAGGAAGACACGACCTCTCAACCTCTGACCTCTAATGCTCATCCACATGAGTATTCACATATATGCACACAGACATATATAGGCCATACATGCACAACAAAAAATAAAAGATAAAAACATTTTTAATTTAAGTACATGGGCTATGAAAACAGTGAGACATGGAAAGACATACATTAAAATGATAGGAGTAAAATGGAAGACCATGGTACACATCTCAAAGGATTAATAATCCTGCCGGGTGTGTATAACCAGAAAAGGGTCACTGGTGTAATACACAGTAGCCTAAGTGCACTGCCAGGAAGGCTAGAGGAAACCCTCTGCAGGCCTCCAGGAAAAGACAAGCTAAAGCAGCACTTCCAAACAGTCTAGGCAGAGGCCACAGAACCTATGAGGTAAAACAAGTTGTTGTTAATATTCAGGTTATATTAGAACAGCCCTTCTTACTAGAGATTATTTTACTAAAGTAGTCTTGGCACCTCAAACATGGAGCCACAGAACTGGAGAAGGAAGGAGCTCACACACGTAAGCATCTCTATTCAACTCATGCACTTACTCAGCTTTGAATGTGTTAGATATGGACACACACTCTCCCAAGCTTCGAAGAGGAAAGTACGTAAAGCCAAAACACCTTTAGCTTCCCTGATTCTTAAAGAAAGGATTAGAAAGCCTGATGAAACATCAACCCCATCTCTGGCAACTCCATCAGTGAACAGATGCTACTATTTTAGTAGGAACCAAGAGAAGACAGGAACAAAAGGGCAAAAGATAAAAACCAAACACCTTGATTCTTTTAGAAGTAAGACTAGGGTCCCATCATTCTACATGAAGTGATCCCAAAAATCAGACACCCCAATTTTAAAAAGCCCTGAGAAATTAAAAAACATTACTTTTGAAATTATCTGCTACCTGTCTTGCTATTGATGGTAAACTATTTTTTGTGGTCTGTGATGCAATTTTGTCTTTTGTTATTTTTATTTATTTAGAGACAGGATCTCACTATGTACTGTCTGGCCTAGAACTCACTACGTAGACCCCACTAGCCTCAAACTCTCAGAGATTGGCCCCCCTCTACCTGGAGAGTGCTGGGATTAAAGAAGTGCACCACACCAGCTTGTTTTATGTTTTGAAACAGGGTGTCTGTCATGTGACACAGATTGGTCATGAGCTCTCCTATGGCCAAGGGTGGCTTTGCTGCCACCTCCTGAGTGCGGGGTAAAGATACGTGTTACTGCCCACCTGAGGTTTTCACTTAGGTCTACCAAGCGATATTCAAACCACATCAGACACAAGCTCTAAACAATATATGGGAGTGTGCAGAAACCCAAAATTAAATCTGGGTCACACATTAAACACAGGAAACCTTGTATATATGGTTCATATGAACTCATTTCAACTTAGGAACTAAATGAGAAAAAATGATCAGACATAATAAAAGCACCGAAGGGAACTTTATAAATGTGTTTCTGTTCTATATCCCTGACCAGTTTTAACCAAGATTACAGTTTCTTCAAAACCAATGAGTACTGTAAATAAACTAAGAAAAAGGGGAACTTTGACAATTGGACAAATGTCTACAATTCAAAAAGCCAGATTAAAGCCCCCTCCTGCCTGTAACCCTAGCACTCAGCAGGCTGAAGCAGTAGATCTCTGAGTCAAGGCCAGCCAGTACAGAAGAAAATAGTATTTTTTTTTTTTTTAACTATTTTGCTATACTAGAGTCAGGAGGCACATTTCACTACTTAGGAGCTCAGAACACTTTTGAAGTTACTTTCTTGAATTTATTATTTGGAAAAAAAATGAAAGATAAGGAAGGAACATGATGTCTACCTCACATTCTTTATCTTTTCAATTGAAAAAGATATTAAAAACCATAGAAACCTGTGAAAAAATAAAATGAAATCACAATCATGATTCAATTTCTGTTGCAGCTACCTGTTCTCCTATACAGTATAAGAAACTATTCAAGGTGGATGTGACACATACTGAACAAATTCATCTGCTAGCATCTCCTTTAAGGACATAATAACTCAACATCTAGAGAAATTGGCTGTTCCTTATTTTCCAGTTTTAACTTAAGGTAATTTTTTAAAGTAATTTTCAATATTAACCCTGGAGCTTCCAGCTCACAAATACAAATGTTACTATATGCTATTGAAATTGTACAAAGGCTGGAGGCTCCCTCAAAGAGAACTGTTTGTTACTCTCTGAGTTCCAAACTTCACTTAGAAATGTGGAAATGACATTCACTTTCAGCAGAGTATTTCTACCTGCAAACAAACCAAACTTGGAAAGAATTTTTAAGTTCCAAAGTCACCCAGTGTTCCAATGCTTTTGAGGATTAAATGTGTTCTGGAGTAAACATACTCTCAAGGTTTATGCATTAAAGTGCAGTACACCTCAAGCTTACCTGAGGGTGGCTGTACAAAATGTTCACCATCTCCTTGGGAATTACTCAGTTTTGCAGCTTCAGTAGTATACACTGGTGGTTCTTCCATTTTAGCCTCTGATGACTTCAGGATTCCATAACACAATTTAAAAAAGGGAAAAAAAATTAATGTTGACCAATCAATAGTTAAGGGATCCAAAGATGTTATTTAAAACATTACTATGCACTCAACTAGATAATGAACAGGTTTTCCCAGAATTTTAAACATGTTGGTAACATTTTATAGCTCCTATATTTTTTCTTTCTTTATTATTTTTTATTTTTTGACTTTTCAAGACAGGGTTTCTCTGTGTAAAAGCCCTGGCTGTCCTGGAACTCACTCTGTAGACCAGGCTAACCTTGAACTCACAGAGAACCTCCTGCCTCTGCCTCCCGAATGCTGGGATTAAAGGTGTGTGCCACCATGCCCAGCTAGCTCCTACTTCATTATTATTATTATTATTATTATTATTATTATTATTATTATTATTTTACTTATTTTGGTGTGTATTTTGCCTGCATGTATGTATGTATGTACACTGCATGCATGCCTAGTGCCCACAGAGATTGGGAGATCTGGAGATTTGGACAGCTGTGAGACACTGTGTGGGTGCTGGGAACTGACCCTGGGTCCTCTGGAAGAACAGCAAGTACTCTTAACTGCTGAGCCATCTCTCCAGTTCCTATACCTCCTACTTTTTGAGCCAAGTAATATTCTGTTTCAAATAATGCAGTACTAATGATAACCAATGCAGTGGGATTTAGGATGTAGAAAGAACTACGCTGAAGGTCACAATTGCTATTTCAACATAATAAAGGGGTCAAAAAAAAAACAAGGAAAGTAAAATTCTTCTCTTTTCTTTGAATACTGAAAACTGAGGGATTTATTTATTTGGTAGAGTGAGCATAGATGAATGAGAAAGAACTCTGAACAGTCCAAGGAGCTTTGTGGTGGTCTCAATGAGAATGGCCCCCAATGGGCTCCTGTCTGCATGCTTGGTTCCCAGTTGGTGAACTGTGTAGGAAGAATCAGGAGGTGTGGCCTTGTTATGGAGGTATCACTGGGCGGGGGAGGGACGTTGAGGCTTCTGCCTGATGCCTCGGGATAAAATATAAGCTCAGCTACTGCTCCAGCCCTGTGCCAATCTGCCTGCTGCCATGCTCCCCTCCATGATAGTTATGACTCTGAAACGGTAAGCAAGGTCCCAACTAAATACTCTTTTATAAGTTGCCTGGTTCATGGTGCCTCCTCGCAGCAATAGAGCAGTAATAAAGACTGTAACACAATTCTAAATGGTCTTTTAATAAAAAATCCCGGTGCCAGATATTGGAGTAAATGCTGAAAGATGGCGAAGACGAAGGAAAAGGCCACTGCCACGTCTCACCGCTAGGACTCAGCCTGAAAAGCCTTTCTAGCCGAAAGGCATTCCTCAGCCGAAAAGCTTTAGTTCCTGACTCCTCACGCCTTATATACCTTTCTCAGCCAACCGTATCACTTCCTTTTTAGTGCTGGGATTAAAGGCATTTGACTCCCAAGTATTGAGATTAACGGTGTGTGCACTGGGGTTCTTTCTGCAATGGCAGTGTTAATGTAGAGGGATGTAACTGGATAAGTGACATCTGTACCCACACTGCAACCCCACCCCAGGCTCAAAGGACCTGCTGGAAGGAAGAGGGGCAGAAAGAATGTAAGACCCTGAGGTGGGGGAGCGCTGTGGAGCCCGTCTCTGGACAGAGCATGGCTGCTGCACCCTGAACTCCCGCAGCTGTGTCAAGTCTTGCACAAAATCAAATCACTATTCCAGCATGCAGGAGGGAGAGGCTCGGGAGGCCCAGCCCGAGCTGAGGAGCTACCGACAGTGAGTGACTGCTAAGTGTCATTTCTCTTTTCCTGGTGGTGTAGAGATAAGGAGCCATGATTCAGAAAATAGCCCCACACCAATGCTCATGTAAACAACCCTAATTAAACTCAGTGGGTTATAAAACAGGCACGAAAGCGGGAGGGGGCTTCTTAGGAAGAGGCCATGGGGTGAAGACAGTCAAAATACATTACATACATGGATGAAACTGTCAGATAAAAATAAGGAATTGTTAAAAAGGGGAGGGTGGGAAGATGGCCCAGTTGGTAGTTACTGCCCATGACATGAGGACCGGAGTGCTCAGATCCCTAGAACAGCACATATAAAAGCCAGTGAGCATGGCAGCTAACCTTTGATACCTGCACACAAGATGGAGACGGTATTCCCTGAGCAAACTGGCTAAGCAGCCAGACTAGCCAAAACAACAGAATCTGGATTCAGCAAGAGACCCTGCCTCTATACAATGTGGAGAAATTGAGGGGCCACCTGACACTAACCTTGGACCTGCGCACATGTACACACACACACACACACACACACACACACACACACACACACACACGCACACACACAAACAGGCATACATTCTCACAAGGCACATCCAGTACCTGTTCCGACTAAAAGGAAAAGGTATTTTCCATCTTTTAAAAAAGGATAAAAAGTAAAATATAAATACTTTGACTTGCTAAGAGGATATGACTACTCTGAGGAGTTCTATAGAAACTTAAAAGTTAACAGTAAAAGACAAGTGTAAACTCAGCAAGAACGGGGCGATGCCAATAGGATATACTTCTGCTGCATTTATGTCCCGCAAGCACCTGCTTTTTTCGTTTCCTTTCTTCCTCCTGGTCATATTCTTCTTTTGATTTTCTGAAATACAAGAAAGTTAAAAATAAATCTGTTTTGTTTTGTTTTTTGAGACAGGGTCTCATTATGTATCCCTGGCTGTCCTAGAACTCACTCTGTAGACCAGGCTGGCCTCCAACTCACAGAGATCAACCCTCTGCCTCCCAAGCACTGGGATTAAAGGTGTGCACCACCCACCCAACTAAAGAGTAAATTTCTTCATCATCAAAGAACAAATATGCAGCATGTTACCCTGACATTATTACAGTCTGGACAAGACGTTTCACCAGAGATATAGAACAATCATCTCTACAAACCTGCTCTACAGTCACCTCTAACAGACAGCAAAATAGAGCTATTAATAGACTGTATGGGTTTACCTAGTGAACCCTGGTTGAACAACAATCAACAGATTTGAAATCCTAAACCTTTTTTTTTTTAAAGTTAGCATACAAATGAGTGATCTAAACCCACATTTTAATGGCAAACTCCACAGGAAAGACTCATTCTGGCCAGGAGTGGTGAGCAGATGCTTATAAATCCAATACTTGGAAGGTAGAGGCAGGAGGTTCAGGAATTTAAGGTCATCCTCAGCTACATAATGAATTCAAGGCAAACCTGAACTATAGAAGATGCTGTTTCAAAAACAAAAACAAACTTTGAATCTCTTTGAAATGCTGTGGAATACTGCTTTTGTACACTGGTTTAATAAAATGCTGATTGGCCAGTAGCCAGGCAGGAAGTATAGGTGGGATAAGCAGAAAAGGAAAATTCTGGGAAGAGGAAGGCTTAGTCAGGAGACGCCAGCCTGCCGTCTAGGGAGCAGCAGGTAATGGCATACAGGTAAAGCCATGGAACACGTGGCGACATATAGATTAACAGAAATGGGCTGAGTTTAAGTGTAAGAGCTAGTCAGTAGTTAGCCTGAGCTAATGACTGAGCAGTTTTAATTAATATAAGCCTCTGTGTGTTTACTTGGGGGATGCGAGTGGGAGAGATCTGTCCCAATTGCCAGCAGGCTGGGACACAGGAAATCTTCCGATTACATGGAAATGTTACCTCCTTCCTGACAGGACTGTCCCCTCATTCTGGCCTGTCCAGTGGTGTCTGAGCTGTCCCAACAAAGTTGTCCTGCTGCCCATCAATCTCTTTAAGCAGTTCAGAGGCACTCTGACCAGGAAACAGCTGAGGCCAACTATCTTACATGCCCATAGCTAAGCTTTAAAAATTAAAAATCTAAAAGTACCAAAAATGGTTTGTGCTATGTCAGCCCCAGTGGGAAGAGCCTTAACCACGCTGAGAAGAGTTAGGAACTAGCCACAGTAAGGGAAGAAGAAAGGTTGCAGGAGACACTTCTGGACAGTTCCAGGGCAACCAGTCCAAATTACCAGTCCTCAACACAAATATCCTTCCCTTTGCACACATATGCCCCACCACAGGGCAGGATCTGTCAGTAAAGGGCTGTGTCCACCACCTACACTTCCGCTTCAGTCTCTACAACCACCCACATCCCCTAAAATTAGGCATTAAGCCTTGGACTCCTGTCATAGTTTCCCACTAGGTCCATCTTTCTAAACAGTGACTACAGACTTCCTTTTCCTCTAAGTCAAGCACATTCTCACAGATTAAAAAGTACATGCTACTATGACTCCTCCCTTCCAAAGCTCCCACAGGAACCAGGGGTAATGGCTTCAAGGGGAAAATAATAGCTAACCTTTTTTTGGTTAAAGGGCAGCACACCTCATGCCAAGCATCTGGTTGAGATGGGAAGAGGTGATCGGCAAGATACTTATCAAGATCAATACAGCCGGGCGTTGGTGGCGCACGCCTTTAATCCCAGCACTTGGGAGGCAGAGCCAGGTGGATCTCTGTGAGTTCGAGGCCAGCCTGGGCTACCAAGTGAGCTCCAGGAAAGGCGCAAAGCTACACAGAGAAACCCTGTCTCGAAAAACCAAAAAAAAAAAAAAAAAAAAAAAAAAAGATCAATACCTCCTCCTCTCCTCCCTTGTAGGTTACCTGTCACTCCTCTAATATCGAGACACAGCAGACAGGGAGAACTCTGCTCAGTTAGGACACACTCTTCCCTTCCCTAATCTGGGGAGTCTATTGCAGCTTTTTTTCCATTGGTGGCTAGTTCCTTCATCCTATGATAAAGGATGTGTGGGGTGAGGGTAGGGAAATCCTCTCAATTGGACTGATCCAGTATAAGTGATATGAAAATATTTTTCTACAATTAAATATAATACAAATTGGTCATCTAACATGAAAATCCAAACTGCTCTAAAATAAAAAGCTTTGCAAAGCACATCAACAGAATGCTCAAAAAGTGTTAAATTTGGTAATGTTTGGATTTCAGGTTTTCTGATTAGGGATGCTCAGCCTATCTGTGATCTGTGCAAGTATTCCAAAATCTGAGACACTTGGGTCTTAAGCATTTGGATCAGGGATACTTTAGCTGTGTATACATAGCTAAAAAAATAAAAAATAATTTTGTTAGTCCTGCTAGTCGGTCATATTTTCTAGTGAAAAGTTTATATCCATTCAGATCATATACAACACTATTAACATTTACTCAAAAGCAGTTGAAGCAGCTCACCTGAGGACCTCCCTCAGGATTTTCATCTCTTCCTGTTCAAGATCACTGACTACATCGGAGCCATCAGTTAAGCAGTCGGGTAACACACCTGTTCAAAACCAAACACCACATGGAAGACCATCAACTCAATTGAAAACACTTCTCACTATTCTGGTTCATCAGGTATAAATCAGTTTACAACTTATGACTTAAATTTTTTTTCAAGCCTTATCTTTTTAATTATCTTCTGTTTAACTTTCTCACATTTTAGGGACTAAGCCCCATAAAAACCAGTCACAATTTTAGCTAGAAGCATTTCACAGTAATAACTTGTATTGACTATCTAAAATAGCAATGAGTGGGACAATGTGAAACTCGGTAGTAAGGACCTGTAACTAGCATGCACGAGCCCTGGGCTCAAGTCTCAGCACCAAAAAGAAAAGAAAAGCTGGAGTGATGGAGCCATGGCTGTGCAGCTGAAGGCCCTTGCACCCTGCCTGATGACCTGAGTTTGAGTCCAGGGATCCACATAGTAGGAAGGGAACTCTACAGGTTGTCCTTGACATCCATATGCACATCATGTCACTCATGTCCTATCTATTTATATATCTATCTATTACTATATGTCTCTCACACAATTACTTAAACAATTTAGAACAAAACTTGAAAGAAACTATCACAATAAAAATAATAGATGTTACAGTCTTCCATTATCTCACATTATCTACTACTGATCTCACTTAGCCAGGGTTAATGAAATGCTTTTAAAGGTGAACTATAAGTGGGAAAGTTTACAAAACAAAATGGTGTTTTATTAAAGGTCTCCATTTGAACTACAATATAGTGAAAGGGCCTGTTACTATGTCAATGATAGCATGTGCTGAACAGTGGGGTATGAAGATCAATAATATGAAGACCAATAACACTATCTCTGGCCTTGATACATCTTTTCAGATATTGGCAATAGCTTTAAATCATGATTGTGCCAATTTCCACCCCTCACTTCCCCCAACACAAATTCACAGGAAGAAATTTAACTGTTGGTTTAATTTACTTATACAAGGGCTGGAGAGATGGCTCAGCCGTTAAAGGCTAGGCTCACAACCAAAAATAATTTACTTATACCTCCCTGACAAGGGAGGTTGGTGATGAGTGCTGTTCATGTCTATATTCTCTAGCACTAGCAGAATGTACCTTTATTTCACCTTCCATTTCTTTATTCAAATGTTCTTTAAAGTAGTTTTATTATTTGAATTCCCTTGATGCTAAACATTTTGGGCTAAACATTCTGTTGAGTTAACTGTAGTCATTTGTAAAGAAAGAGCAGGAAGATGAATTCACCCTTCACCCACGAGAAGAGTTAGACCTATAAACACATCATCTGAAGTGTAATTTTGCTCATTCAGAAGATATCAAATCATTCTCCTAGCAACTTTTCTAAGGAGAATTAAAAACAGGAACAACACAACAGCATGAAATTCTTTCAAATCATCAAAATGCACTTTCTCCAAATTATTTGATCAGATACAAACAAGAATCAAGAAAGCCTTTGAATTTTTCTTACAAGAAATAAAATTCACCAGTGGTGGTGCATACCAGCACTCAGGAGGCAGAAGCAGGTGGATCTCTGAGTTCGATGCCAGCCTGGTTCAAGTTCCAGGACAGCCAGGGTTACAGAGAAACCCTGTCTCGGAAAACAAAAGTGGGGGGGGGAGGAAGGAAATTTCCAAACATCTTGTTTTGAGCACAATATAAGTTCATAATTAAAGACCGCACTAAAAGTTTCAATGCATATGATAAAAGCTGGTTTAACTTCAGACACAGGGTAAACTGCCCTGTGCTGTGGACTGGCAGCAGCCACTATCCTATGTCACTCCTCTCTTCTCCAGTAAATCAAAGCTCTGTGCAGTCATCCGGCAGCATCGCATCAAGGTCAGATGCTCCCTCCCCTCAGCAGAGTGGTACTTGATTGAGTCAAGCTATCACAATGGTCTCATCCCCTTCTAGACAGTTTAAGAAAGGCCTGAGTGGAAGGCTCTTGGAGGGTTTGCACAAAATGTTATCTTGCTAACAAAAAGAAAAGCACACAGAAGGAAACATTCCTTTCCTCACAAAACACTGAGTCTTCACTGGAAGCAGAAAAAAAGAGGCAGGGAATGTCAGAAATAAAAATGGCAAGTGTCAGTGGCCTTGAAGACATCACCAAGCCACTAGGGCAACCAATTCTGGGCCTGTCTCCCTCGGGAAGACTGCCCAATCGTTTTACATCAACTTGACACAAGCTAGAGTTATCTGAAAGGAAGGAACCTCAGTTGAGACAATGCCTCCATAAGGTCCAGCTGTAGGGCATTTTCTTAATTAGTGATTGATGGAGGAGGGCCCAGCTCATTGTGGGTGGCGCCATCCCTGGGCTGGGTTCTAGAAAACAGGCTGAGCAAGCCATGGGGAGCAAGTCAGTAAGCGGATTACTCCATGGCCTTTGCATCAGCTCCTGCCGCTAGGTTCCTGCCCTGCTCGAGTTCCTGTCCTGACTTCCTTCAATGATGGACTATGATGCAGAAGTGTAAGCCAAATAAACCCTTTCCTCCCCATGTTGCTTTGGTCATGGTGTTTCATCACAGCAACTGTAACCTAACTAATAAAACAGAGACTGTAATGTCTAACTGCTTATGTCATTTTCATTGGGATATTCTATTATTGGCAATCTGAAGCATACAGCTTATATACAAGCTGCAGAAGTGTATGTGTGTGTATATATAAACTGAAAAACTAGAGTCCACTGGTCAAGTTCACTATTTCTTTTATCAAGCCTTATCCTCTCAAAACAAGTTTTACAAACACAAAGCAATATCTATCCCACAGACCAGATGAAAGCTAGTTTCAGGAATTCGAGAAGAGAAGACTTTCCAGAATAAAGCACAGCAGTAAAAGAACAAAAAAGAAGCTCTTCCAATTTTATCTACTTTAAAGGTACCCCATTGTATTGTCCTCTTCAGGGTCAGGGTGGCTTTCTATCTTCCCTACAGACAACTCTATGACCCGCTGTAAAAAGCAGCTCAGCTCTAAAGCACGCCAAGCCAGTGGCTGTTTAAAGAGCAAGGCTCAGCTCACACAGCCAATCAAGATCTACAGCATTCTGATATCAGTCTCATAGCAGCAGAAGCTACTTGTTGGGGCTGGTAGGATGGCTCAGTGGGTAAAGGAGCTTGCCGCCAATCCTGATGACCTATGTTTGATTCCTAGGACCCATTCCTGAAAAGCTGACCACCCTCTGACCACCACATGTGCACATGGCACACATGCGCCTCCCCTCAACATAAACACAAGCCCTGTTTATTGCACATGCCACACCCTTAAGGGCGAACAGCACAACTGAAATGCTGCTCCCACACCTTCGAGAAACAACCAAATGGCAAATCTTGCTGCCAGATTAGTCAAGTACTGGTCCTTGTGGCCCAAGACCAGCAGCTCCAGCAACAGCTGGGAACCTGTCAAAGATGCAGAGGATCAGGTCCCACCCAAGACCCACTAGGGCATAAACTGGAGCCTACCAGTTGACTCCAGTGCATACGGAGTCTGAAAAACATTTCCTTCTAAGGTCTTAATTGTGACAAGCCAGAGGAGTAGTTCCCTGTCCTCAACAGTAACCATAGCCACTCAAAACACTAAACTAACACATGGCCTGACAGAAAAGCAGGCCTCAAAAAACTAAAGCATCAGTAAATTCTTGTTTTCTTCAGTTGAAATGTCACATGCCAAATTACTAAATTTACATCCTTAAATCTCTTACACTAGCCAAAGACTTTCAAATGTGAAATAATGCAGAAAAGGTAATTACATTTAAGATGGTTAGAATAATTAAAAAAAAAAAAAAAAACCAAACCCTGCACTTGGTACTCAGATTGCTAACGTCAGCGCTTTACCATTCCTCTCCTGGATTATTCGGATGGCTTGAAGCTGCATCTCAATGTTCTTCTGGACCATCATTGCTTTAAAGATAGTAAAATCCTCTGCTGCCAACACGGGCTGCAAAATGGCCTGTGGGAGGAAGTCCGCAGGTTAGATGAAGACTCGAGGTTGAAACTATTTGCCCCTCATTCAAATCACCATTTGCACTGAAAAGCAGCACATTAATTCATGCTGCATCAGTACCATGGTTAGATGCCTCAAGTGGACAATCTTAAGATAAAAAACAGCTGGCCTCAAACTCCTAATTCTCCCACCTTAGCCTCCCAAGTGTTGGGTTGCAGGGTGTGTAGCTATACCCTGCCAAGATTTTTTTAAAGCCTTTAAAATAGGGTTCTCAGAGCTAATTCACTCAACCTCTAGTCCCCCAGGGGTCAGAAAGGGCTGCCTCCTTTCCCAGCCAGTGTTAAATTGGAAACAACACAGCAGTCTGGCTTGTTTTTCTAAAGTTATCACCTCAGGATCTGGGCTTGTTTTCAGTGCAAATGGTACCTATCTGGTTTATATCCTATCTCCTGAAATTTATTTTGGGTTTAATAATTATTCAAGAACTGAAAAATTGTCCCTTAATTAAAGTACCAAGTTAAGCCAGGTGGTAGTGGCGTACACCTTTAGTCCCAGGATCCAGGAGGCAGAGGTAACAGATCTCTATGAGTTCAAGGCCTGTCAGGTCTACAGTGTGAGTTCCAGGACAGCCAGGGCTACACAGAGAAACCTTGTCTCAAAAAAAAAAAAATTAAAAATTAAAAAAAAAAAATGTACCCAAGATAAACTGACAAAAAAATGGAGTCTTACAGGTAAAAAATTATATGTTAGAGATGGTTGGGAATTATGAAAAGTCAAAACCTAAAAGTATAATAAATGAAGACTGAAGTGGGACTGGAGCAGTGGCTCAGATGTTCGGAGCACTGTCCTTGCAAAGGACCCACATTCAATTCCCGGCACCCACATGGTGGCTCACAACTATCTCGGCAACCCTAGTCTCAGGGGATCTGATAACCTCTTCTGGCCTCTGAGGGCACCAGGCACACATGGTACACAGACAGACATACAGGCAAAACACCCTTATTCCTAAAATAAAAATAAATAAATGTTTAATATAATAAAGGTATCTACCATTAACATAACTATTTCACTAACTATTAGTAATGTTACATATAGCCAAGAACAAACCAATTTCCAATTAATAAGCAGAATAAGATTTGAAATGCATGGAAACCCAAAGGAAACACTTAGGTCTTATCAGAATTTAATTTCCAGCTCTACCTAAGATGAATGGAAAAGCTGGCCACACAACACCATGCAGAGGTAACCAAGAGTGTGCTGTTTACTAGAAGGCAATGGCAATATTCTTACCAAGAACATCTTGACCAGAGCCTTCACCAAAAAATTCCACTTGAAAGGGATGAGTCCCTCCCCCAGCAACCAGCTCATACTTTAGATGTACAGCAGATCAAAATAAAAGGCAAGAACAGTTCTCAGTGACATCTAAAAGTAGTGTGCTATAAAGAAAAAGGTACAGTACTTCCTTAAATTCTGTCTGGGGTCCCGGGAAATGGCAAACATTAGCTTTGTACTGAAACCGTATGGGCAGCTCCTGTCTGAATCCCCTTTGGGGGTTATTCCACCACATAATAAGTCATGGGGCTTCCTGGCCTATTAATGACACTAAGTACTTTATCCTCACCAGCAAACCTTTAAAATGACATTGCTATTCTGTTTTATTTTTGGCTTTTTGAGACAGGGTCTCACTCTGTAGCCTATTGGCCTCAAACTCAATTGTAACCTCCTGAGACAGAGTATTGGAATTACAGGTATGAGCCACAATACCCAACTATGGGCAATGCTATTTGTCAAACAATCTTTCTAGCAGCAAGTTGGAGATTGAACTTGTAGTTGTGATCTTTGACCCCTCTTAATAAATCCAAGAAAGAATAATTATTAACAAAGCATATTCTTGAGCTCTGTTTCAGATATAAAAAATTACAATCTTTACAGAATGAATGTCCACATACCTTCACAGATTCTTAAAACATTAAGGTTTCAGAAACATTGGCATATTAGAGAAGGAAAAGAGTCTTGATATCAAAAGCCTTCCTCCAATACAACTATAGGCACCGGTAGCCCTGTGGCCCTGGATAGTATTGAATCCTCAGCACCAACAAAAATAACTGTAACATTTATATAATACTTCATGGAGTCTAAGATTCTAGAGATTAGTAAAATAGGCCATTTTTTTTAATGTGTCACTTGGAAAAAACTACCAATTAAATAATAAGACTACCGATTACATAAAACATTCTTATTTAAGTATGTTCTGATGTATTCTCTGGGCTTAGAGGAATGGCCCAGCAGTCAAGAGGACCCAGACTCAACCCCAAACAGCCACCTAATGGCTCACAGCCATCTCTAAGTCCAGTTCCAGTGGATCAACACCCTCTTCTGACGTCTGCAGTCTCCACACACAAGGTACACAGACATACACACAAAATACAAATTTTAAAAACCACTTTTGCTTCTGAATAAAACAAATATAGTAACAACTGTCTCACAGAGTATTAAATGAATTAAGTAAAATTTTATGATCTGAAAAGTAAATGTAAGAGTAATTGTTCTGTTCCTTTTTAAAGTTTTATTTTTATTATTTGTAATTATGTGTCTGTGTGTGAGTACAGGGATCTTAAAGACTACAGAAGTGAGATCCCCCAGAGCTGGAGCCACAGCTGGCTGTGAACCACCTAATGGGAGTGCTGGGAACTGAAAGAACAGGGTGTGCTCTTAACTGCTGAGCTACCTCTCCTGCCCCAGGGTTCTGGTTCTTTAAACACTTGGTAAAATTGATAAACTGTTGACCCAGCTAAGAAAAAGCCAGTCTAGGGGGTTTGAGGCCAGCCTAGACTACTCAAGACTCTATCTCAAGAAAACAAGCCAGGCGGAGGTGGTGCACGCCTTTAATCCCAGCACTTGGGAGGCAGAGGCAGGCAGATCTCTGTGAGTTCGAGGGCAGCCTGGGCTACAGAGTGAGTTCCAGGAAAGGCGCAAACCCTGTCTTTAAAAACAAGAAAGAAAATAAAAGAAAGAAAGAAAGAAAGAGAGAGAGAGAGAGAGAGAGAGAGAGAGAGAGAGAGAGAGAGAAAGAAAGAGAGAAAGAAAAAGAAAACAAAAGTAAGCTAAATAAAAATCAGTTATCATCATACTTAAGAAGTCAGATGCAGCCGGGCTGTGGTGGCGCACGCCTTTAATCCCAGCACTCGGGAGGCAGAGGCAGGAGGATCTCTGTGAGTTCGAGGCCAGCCTGGTCTCCAAAGCGAGTTCCAGGAAAGGCGCAAAGCTACACAGAGAAACCCTGTCTCGAAAAACCAAAAAAAAAAAAAAAGAAAACAGATGCTTTCCCATTATGTTAAGATATAAAAATAAATAAAAGGGGTTGTCACTTATTGATCTTATAAAACATAGACAAGATAATGGAGACACACACAGACAACTCTGCCCACCAACTTGATGACCATTTTGCCAAAACTCACACTGTGGTAATAAGGAATGACCAGATAAGCCTATTCATTACTAAAAGGTTAATCAGTAAATACAAAGTCAAGATGGGTTTACAGGTAAAATCTACCTAACATTTGAAAGAGAAATTAGACTACTTCTCTATAGTCTCTCCTAGAGTACTGAGGCAGAGAGAATACGTATTAACTCTTTTCCTGAGGCCAATACTCCCTAATTCCAAATTCAGACAAAGACTTTAAAAGGAAAACTAAAGAAAGGTCAGAGATGCAAAAATGCCCAAAAGAATTTTAGCAAACTTAGTTCAACAATGTATAAAAAGAATTACATAGCATGACAAACTGGAAATTTTTCCAATAATTCAAAGTGGATTCAGCATTTAAAAATAACTCACTATATCAGCTACCAACAGACTACAGGCTACCATTTGACCCTATCAATAAACATAGAAAAGAGCCTTTGACAAAAATCTAATAAGCAATCACATTTTAAAAACATAAAAAAAAAAAATTAGCCAGGCGATCATGGTGCACACCTTTAATCCCAGCACGTGAGGCAGAGACAGGTGGATCTCTGTGACTTCAAGGTCAGCCTGGTCTACAGAGCAAGTTCTAAAATAGCCAGAACTACACAGAGAAATCCTGTCTCAAAAAACAAACAAACAAACAAACACTTTTCAGCAAATGGGAATGGACAGGAATTTCCTCACCCTTGTAAAGATCATCTATTTTCATTTTTTTTTAAAAAAAACGTATGTGTGTGTGCCTGTGTAAATTCATGTGTATCACACGCACACAGGTGCCTGTGGAGGCTCACAAGAAGATGGCTCATATGCCCTGCCACTGGATTTACAGACAGCTGTGAGCCACTCACTCTGTGAATGATAGGAACCAAGCCTGGGTCCTCTGCAAAAGCAGTAAATGCTCTTAACTGCTGAGCTATCTCTCCAGGACCCAAGACAACCCAATACAAGGGTTATTGGTAAATGCCTGTGACCCCAACTCTTGGGAAGTACAGGCAGGACAATAAGGAGTTCAAGGCCAGTCTGGGCTACATAGTGGGTTTGAAATCAACCCAGACTACTCAAGACCCCTACCTCAAGGGACAAGGATAAATAAAGACCTCAGTTAAGGTCACACTTAAGAAACTAGAATCTTTCCCACTAAGATCAGCAATGAGGGCAAGATGACACCTCACAATCCCCACGAAACACTGTATACAAGTCCTGGCTAATGGAAGAAGTTGGGTTTTGGGTTTGGGGTTTTTTTTGTTTTGTTTTGTTTTACCAACTGGAAAGGAAATAAAAACTCTTTTTGCTTGGGGCTGGAGAGATGGCTCAGCAGTTAAGAGCACTTACTGCTCTTCCAGAGGACCCAAGCTCAGTTCCCAGCATCCATCTATAACATCTGCAAACATCTGTAACTCCAGCTCTAGGAGCTGGACACCTCAGCCTCTGAGTACACTTGGAGTTAAGTGCACACATCCTCATGCCAAACACACAGGCCTACACATAAAATAAAAAGTTAAATCAAAAAGCTTTGTTCATAGATGACGACTGTAGAAAATATAAGGAAAAAAGTTATCTGTTTTGCAGGGTACCAACGATGAACAATTAGAATTTGAATTTCAAAATAGTAGCATTCATATTAACAACACAGAAAAGAAATGAGAAGAAACTAAACAAAATTATCTTCTCAAACTTTCTCTACTTGCAAACTCTTTTCAATATAAGATTTTAAGAAATGAAACATCTGTTCAATTTTCTGTAAACCTAAAATTGCTCTAAAATATTCTATTTTTATCTTAATTAACATTCATATAATAGTATTTATTGGGGCTGGAGAAATGGCTCAGAGGTTAAGAGCACCGACTGCTCTTCCAGAGGTCCTGAGTTCAATTCCCATACCCACATGGTGGCTCATAACCATCTGTAATGAGATCTGGTGCCCTCTTCTGTATACATAATAAATAAATAAACTTTAAAAAAATATTTAAAAAAAATAGTATTTATCATTATGTATGCTTTGGGAAATTAAATGGAAATACTATATTATATAATATACTCCATAGTGTTAGTTACTAAAAATAAGCATAATTTTCTCAAATTATTGTTGCTGTACAAGAAATGCTTCTACAATTATCAGTTTCCATCTGACAAAAGTAAAAGTTAAATCAACTAAAACATCAAAACAAAACAAATTTCTATTCTTTGCTATATTGAAGTCCCTGGCTTTGGCTGTATTAAACTTAGTTATAAACTATATATACTCACACACACACACACACAAAAATAAAAATAAAAAAATAAAAACCACAAGTTTTTCAAGTTCTACACAGCAGAAAAGCAAGCTGTTAAAAGGAGAGCTAGATAAAAGCACTCTCACAGAATCTGACAGCCTGAGTTTGCTCCCTGGAGCCCACATGGTGGGGGAGAGCTAACTCCACCAAGTTGTCTATGACCTCCACTCACACATGCGCACACACAAATTCAGAAGAAAAACTATCTGCTAGAGCCGTGCTTCGCAACCTTCCTACACTGCCAACCTTTAACACAGCTCCTCATGTTGTGTGATCCCAATCATAACAGGATTTTCGTTGCTACTTCATAACTGTAATTTTGCTACTGTTATAAATCATAATGTAAATAATCTGATATGTGACCCCCAACAGGGTCACAACTCCCAGGCTGAGGACTGCTGTACTAGAGGGATGTTCTTTTTCTGTTTGGTTTTGGTTTTTTTCAAGACAGGGTTTTCACTGTGTAACCCTGGCTGTCCTGGAACTTACTCTGTAGACCAGGCTGGCCTTGAACTTACAAGATCCATTTGCCTCTACCTCCAAGTGCTGGGATCAAGGTGTGTGCCACCACCACCTAGCTGCTTTTTTTATTTTTAAGAGGGATTATTTTTCTGATCTGTGTGTGTGTGTGGGGGGGGGGGGGTGGGTGGGTGTGGGGGGGTGTGGTTTTTCATTTAAAACACCCCCCCTGAATCCCTGTTTGCCACTCTTGTGGCTTTAATATATCAGAATGCCAAGCCTAATGATGACAAAATAAGGCAAAAGCATTCTGCAAGTCTCCTTCAGCAGTTCAATTCAATGAAAGCAGCAGCTAGTCTAGAGAATCAATACCAAGCCAATGGAAACAACAAATACCCCTAAACTACTCTTGCTTCTTGAGCTGGACTTTAGGCACCCCAGATTGGCATACTGGAATCCACATTCTAATTTTCATGTGTGAAAATGAAATTACTATAATGCAGTCAATAATGTGCTTCAAGATGCCTTTCGCGCACACTGACAGCCCAGCACTGATTCACCGCTGCCATTCAGCAGCTAGTGACTAAGAGCTTGTTCTAGAGAATAATGCTAACAAACCCATGACCCTGGCCTGTCAGCACAATGCTAATCAACCACCAAAATAGCTACAGCTAATTAAGAAGTGCTTCAATTTACTCAGAGACGACTTAACACACAACAGGCATTATACTAAATGTTTGCTATACATTATCACTTAAGCTTCACGAAACCCTTTAAAGGGAATACTACTGCTTTTATACGAATGTGCAAATTTTGTGTCCTGAATCTTTCAATACTGGCTGAAAGATGATGAGCAAAGACTGGTTTGCAGTTATACATTTTTGATTCCTTTGGGCTAAGAAAGGGACAGTGGAGTGTTGGGAAGAGGACTGTTGTAGTGGGTAGCTGTTCCAGCTTTGACCTGGAAGTACTACCCCTAATGAGGTTTCTGGTAACTGCTGTGCCTACTTATGACGTGCCCCTGGGGCGGAGCTGAGACAGGAGCCCTTAAGACCTGAGATCTGGATGTGCTGGCTCTCATGGTTCCTGGTGATCCTGGATGCTGGATGGTAGACCAAGCGGAGTCTCCAGAGAACCCAGCTGGACTGCACCTAACCTCTCCCAGATCCTGTAACCAACCCTTTTACTGGCTGTAAGTTACCCCCTAATAAACCTCCTTTTTAACTACGTGGAGTTGCCTTAATAATTTCCCCCAACAGGCTGTTAGTATTTGGAGTAAGGAATGGTACAAAGAAAGCCAGGTGCACGTGTGCTCGAGAGGGCCTGAAGACGACAGGACTGACAACAGGGCAGCAGCAGCAGCAGCAGCAGCAGCAGCAGCAGCGTCCTCACAGGCATCCCCACGACCACCCTGCTACAGGAAGCAAAGGGAGCTTTTCAGATCTCCATGTGGATAAGAGTGACAGCCCCCTGCTGAGCCAAGCAAGGCTTCAAGGCGGACTGCCTGGACTGTAAGTTTGTCCTCCTACTGATGTGGCTGCAGACCTGGGAGCAGCTGTGTACTATTTCTCTGCTTTAGTTTCTTCACTGATAGGTGGAAGCTAAATGGTACCAAGAAGATAAAGTGAGTAACACCAATAAAATGTCTAAAACATCAGTTAGGGAATTGAGGAAGGTGGTTCACCCTTGTAATCTCAGAACCTGGGAGGGTAAACAGAAGCTTCTAAGTTCAAGACCAACCCAGGCTACACTGAGTTTGAGGCTGGCCTGGGTTACACAGCAAGTCCCTGTCTCAAAATAAATAAAATGAAAACACCTTTAAAAAGCATATCAATTCACAAGAACTCTCAATAAGCATTGTTTATAATATACCTATTAGCCACTCAGCCCAGTGGTGCAGAGCTAAAGAGACAATGAAACAGTTTCATGGAGGGTTAGAGAGATGGCTCAGCAGTTAAGAGCACTTGCATCTCCTGCACCCACATGGCAGCTCACAGCTAGCCCTAACTCCACTTCCAGGGGGATCCAAGGCCTCTTCTGGCCTTCATAGGTACCAGGCATGCACACAGTATACATACATCCATGTAGGTAAAGCACTCATACACAAAAATAAACAAAAACAGTTTCACAAGAAGTCCCAAAACCTAGAAACTGCATTTGCTAAAAACAGAAAAAAGGCAACTACAGAATTACCAGAGTCCTACAGAAATGAAACCATACCCAGATAAATTCTGTGATCTTAACAACTCTGAGACCAGGATGTTTGTTTTTAATTCCACCAGTTCACATTATTTCTTATGGTGGTTAAAAAATGAACACATCAGGTCAATGTTTTTACCTCACACAATGTCTACTTTGTTGATGTCTAATATCACAAATCTTATATCTCCACAATCAAACATACTAAATTTAAAGAAAGCCCTGGAAAAACATTAACAGAGTAACACAAAAGCTAAAACCTGTGATGTGCGTGTCTTTGCCAGAGGGGAGGTGCATGCTTCTTGAAACTGATCTTCATTAATTCCAATTTCTTTAAGGTAACTTTCTAACAGCTTTTCAACCTAAAAAGAAAAGGTTTAACTTTAATAATTTACATAGGAAAAATCCAAATGACATTCCACCTGGTTAGAATGCTCTTTGTAATTAACATAAACACTATTATATAAGACATGGAAGTAATGTCTTTCACCAATAAACTAACAACAAAAAATGTTTTTTTGCCAAGAATCACATGAAGTTTAATTTCCTCCACTAGAAATAGGCCAAGCTTACGAGGGTGAGCATGGTACAGCTCCTCTACCCACTGCCTTTTTAAAATACTCAGAGGCTCCTATAAGCAAGCAAAGCACAAGCACTTGCCTAGAGGCAACAGCTCAAGAATTGAATTTACAAATGAAAGATCCCCATAGCTACAATAAATCATTACTTAGAGTCTAAAACAGAAAAAATACAAAATCATTTGAAAAGATGCTCAGAAGAATTATGAGCCTGAGAACAGTTAGTGCTGCGGAGCAGGATGAACTGTGATCTCAAGAATTGCAATGGAGGCTGCACAGGTGGTCTGGCAGATAAGAGCATCTGTTGACATCCAGAAGACGCAGGTTCGATTACCAGCACCCACATGGTGGTTCACAACCATCCGTAACTCCAGTTACAAGGAACCCAACCCCCCTCTTTTGACCTCTGTGGCTCCAGACACATATATGGTGTACATGCACGCAGGCAAAACACCCATACACATAAAGTAAATAAACCTTAAGAAACAATTTTAAATAATTTTAATTTTAAAAAGCATTTTTTTTCATTAAAAAGGACAGGTATTATAAAATGCCTCTTTAAAAAAAAAAAAAAAAAAAAGCCAGCCATTTAGTCCCAGCACTGGGGAGGCAGAGGCACATAAATCTCTGGGAGATCAAGGCCAACATGGTTTACATAGTGAGTTCCAGGCCAGCCAAGGCTGCATAGTGAGACCCCTATCTCAAACAAAACAAAACGAAAATAAATGGGAAAATACTCACTAGCTCTTTGTACTCCTGATGAATTTCTGTATAGGTCAATTTGCTTTCTTCTTCATCATCAAAAACTAAATTTATAAGAGAATAGGACAGTGTAAAAACAAAACATTTTCATTAAGTACAAATATAAAAATCTTACAAATGCACTTGCAGAAGCCTGTTCTTCCTTTCCACCATGTGGGTTGTGGGATGAGACTCAGGAGCCATCTCCCCAGGTCCTTTATTTTAACATTTATGTACTTGCACTTGCCACTTTATATTTTACTGTTAACACATGTGTCTTCTCTTGCTAGACTGTAAACTTCTCAAACATAGGATTTCTATCCCCAGTTTCTGGTCCCAGGTAACTCAATAAATATTGAAATGTTGACACCACAACGCTGTCTAGATGAGTCTTCATATTATCTGAAGTAGAGAACAGCACACTGACAGCCGCACCTCAGGGAAGTAGAAACGGTTACCCGGAGTGTTCCTGACGTTACTTCTCTGGACTCTGCACACATACATTCAATACAAATGCTACTTAAACTCTTTTCGGACAGTTCTGAAACCACATCACTGCAGCATGTCTGCAAGCCAACTTTGTCTCTCTGTAAAAGGGTACCATCAGCCGGGCGGTGGTGACACACGCCTTTAATCCCAGCACTTGGGGGCAGAGGCAGGTGCATCTCTGTGAGTTTGAGGCCAGCCTGGTCTACAGAGCGAATTCCAGGACAGGCTCCAAAGCTACACAAAGAAACCCTGTCTCAAAACAAACAAACAAACAAAAAGTACCATCAGCTGTTACTATGAAGACACACCCACTCTTGACACCTGTGGAAAGAAGACATCCCCCCCGCCCCCGCCCCCTTTCCGTTCAGCATTCAGTCCGTAAATTAAATCAATGGGTGAAATAATCTCTCCTAAAGGAGGTCAGGCTTCATCAATCTTTTAACAGCATTTTAAATTCTTCAGAGGGACACAGGTAAATTACTTTGCTATTTGAACCTCCTTAAAACTTACCTGCAAATACACTTAACTGGTGTATTTTAACAGTTATAATAAAATAAAAGGTTCAGTGGTCAAACAAAATTCTTTCTTTACTAGATCCATGGTATCTCAGGGTCGAAAGAAGTCTTGCAAGACAATTCAGGAATAAGAACCCTCTGCTAGCTGAATCTCTGCCAAATGTACTCAGATTCTGCGAATGCCTGGGAACCCATTACCTTTTCTGGAATAGTATATAAAACATCCTGGAATAGTCTATAAAACATTTCCTTGACTGAAATGTGTTTGCCTGCAGCTTATACTCACCCCAGCTCTACCGCACTGATCTTTACAGATAAGACTAATCCCTCTAACCTACTGGCACACGTTCAGAGGATTGATGGATATTGCTACCCTCCAGGTATTGCCTAGGTAAATAACCACGATAAAGATTGGGTGTGACGTCGTTTGCGGTCCTTTTCTATGAATAGAGTTCATTTTGTCTTTATGATATGAACTCGGATATGAAACGATCAGAAAGCGGCGCTGCAGATCCTCTGAAAGTATTCCACATTTGTATGCCTGCCTCGTTTGGCTGCTTCGGTCCTGCAGGAGGAATCGCATGCCCTCCTTTGCAGATGAAACGGCCAGAGTGAATTAGTTTTCACTTCGTAGACTGAGCCCACAGGGAGACATCCCAGGGGTCAAAAGGAGCTCGAGGAAAAACGACGCTTCTCCCAAATAACTGGGGAAGATGCTGGTTACCCAAACAGTCCACTGAGGAACGTGCGGGATGAGGTGGCAGGCTCAACATGGTTTTAAAGTCTAATGTGTTCGGGACGCGTGGTTCGGGAGTGGGTGGTAGGTACCGGTGCCCACTCTCAGGTCTGCAAAGGAACTCCCATCCCACTCCGGCAAGGGGTGAATGCAATTCCTTCTACAAAATCAACCCTAGGCCCCGGCGGCCAGAGACAGCGGGTGACATTCGGCTTGTTCGGGATCTGATTTTTACCTTCGCATTTCTGCTCCACAAAGTCCAAGATGGGGATGGACCAATCCGGGCCCCGCAGGAACCCAGCGATGCTCTCCACCACCCATTCCACCTCGTCCTCTTCTTCCGCAGCCATCCCGCCCGTACCGGGCGACGCGGATGCCTAGGCCAGACTCCCCGGCCCGCTCGGGCCTTTCGGCCGCAGGAAGCCGACGGGGAATGCGGGCAGCGCGGCCCGGGCAGTCGCCAGGCCCCCTGGTTAGACACTACAAACCAGTAAACGTAAAATGGTCGCTATGACAACCTACGCAGCGGCCGGAAGTGAAGCCGTCCCCGCCTACGTGCCCGGAGGGGGCGGGGTCAGGGTTCCTATTGGCTGGAAGGGGCGGTAGCGGCGCGAACGCTAGCCCTCCGCTCATTGGCCCGCAGTTGCTAGGCTGAGCGCAGGAGGGAGGGCATTGGCTGCAGAGCCTGGGGTCCGCGTTCGCCTTCCCAGTGCTCGGGAGGGCGTAGCGCCCCGGCACGACCGCATCCCAGCTCATCCCTAAGCGTTTTCAGAGTCTCTGGCCGGAAGCCTGTGTACCTGAAGGGTGATTTGAAGATACAAAGCTGAGCGAAGCTCCACGAGGTTTACTGCTTAAGTCTGCAGCCCGTTTGCCTGGTGTAGTTCTAAGGATGATAACCCCGATCTTAGGTGACGATAGCTGAGTTTATGGCAAGGACACAAAGTTAATCTTCATTTAAATAGGCCTTCATAGCCAGTTTTTAAAGAGTCATGAGGTCCCGCTCTGTTCCTACATTAAGGCCATAGGACTCCCAATCATACAAAAATCTTAAAACTAGGTGTGGCCTACACCTTTAATCCCAATACTCTTGATAGGCAAAAGTAGGTGGATATCTGTGGGTTCCAGGCCAGCCAAGGCTAGCCTGTCTCATAAATAAATAATAAGTCTTGACATCAAATTCAGTCAAAAGCCCTGGCTCCCGAACCTTAGAAAGAGCCCCGCCCCCACCCTCCCCTTTGAGGTCCAGAGAAGCACAGTTACAGTCTGCTAGTGAGAAGTCTCTGCCCTCGGCATAGCAAGAGACTAGTTTCGTTCTCCCATATCCCTCTGAGAGTGGCGAGGAGCTGAGGGAGCAGAGAATACAATCTGTGGTTTCATCAAAGAGGGAGTGGAGGAGTAGCCAGAACCAGAAGTGTGGCTGGTCAACAGCAAAGGACCAGCTCAAACTGGGGGCAGGGGCTCATGATGGAAGACTCAGGAGGAACCAAGTGGGTGGGTCTTAGGGACAGCCAGAGGACCCTGAGCATCACTCCCAATATATTCAAAGATGATGAGAGAGGGCCCAGCTGTCAAGGTAGCAATTGGTATGTTAATCATTTAGTTCACTCTTTCTCCTGCCCAAAAGTTCAGTTCTAGACTGTGGGGATTTTTCTTGTTGCCCTGTCTTACAGCCATGTAGCTGTGGAGGTTAAAGAGAGGTCTTCTTCTCAACCAACCATAATTTGGTAATAAGGTTATGACCTAGTGTTGGCATTTAGGCATCTGTACTGGCCTGCCATTAGGGTCCTCACAGGATATACCTCAGCTGCAGCCACTAAGCTACATTTCCTTATAAAAGGTAGCCTTGTATACCTCCTCTCCCTCTCTCCCTCTCTCTCTCTCTCCCTCTCTCCCTCTCTCCCCCTCTCCCTCTC